TGAAATGTATTGTAGGCAGCAGTAGTGGCGAGGTAGAGATGATGTAATTAGTCCATCAACCTTGGAGACATGGTATGAGGTGGTCGGTCCCTCAGATTGAAGAAAAGGTATGATATGGCCCATATGGATAAATTAAGTCAAACCGGTTGTGACCATCAAGAACTGAAGCCAGAAACTGTAACCGCAACTATGTGAGTACACAACACATACATACACACACACACACACACACACACACACACACACACACACACACACACACACACACACACACACACACACACACACACACAACACACACACACACATATATATATATATATATATATATATATATATATATATATATATATATATATTACCTCCCTGAGCTGAACAGTTTGACTCACTAAAAAATTCTGAGTCATTTTTCTCTTTATTAGTTTGTAGATGACGAGGTGACAGTGTAACTACATTAGTCATAAAAAAACATTACTTACTACCTTGCACAGGGGGAACAAAGGGCCACAAAGGTACCTATAGAATGCCAGGAAAATATTTTTCATACGAAGTACCAGATTTCTGGTGTAGGTGCTGCAAGCACTGCAATATTACTGAGCACCTCTGAGAAATTTTCGTATAGTGTAAGTTGGGCTGTCTCTTCCCCATCAAAATAACATGATGGTGTACTCACTGCCCCCACCAAGACAACATGATGTTGCAGTCACAGCTTCCGGAGAGACAATATCACAAAACACTCTCCCGCCAAGACAACATCGCGAGGCAGTCGCTGCTACCACCAAGACAGCATAACACACTCCCCACCACGTCAGCCTCAAGCACTCCGTGAAGAAGCAAGCGTTAGTCAACCTCGTGTCTTACATCAAGTAAGGCTTTATATATTTTGTAAATCGCACGAGAGAGAGAGAGAGAGAGAGAGAGAGAGAGAGAGAGAGAGAGAGAGAGAGAGAGAGAGAGAGAGAGAGAGAGAGAGAGAGAGTTATAAACCAGATAACCCTTATCTCACAAAACCAATCAATATCTTCTCCTGGCTGGAATATTCAACAGGTAAACGGAGTGACGTCTTCACATCAAGCACATCTCTAAGTAACAATAACAGTCGTTGATCTTAAATGCAATAGTGGGTGCTCATGGCCTGAGCACCGACGCTGCTCTTGGCCTGAGCACCGGAGTCAGACTCTCAATGATGGACAAACAGATCATAATAATGCAGCATGGAAGGCACTGACTGACACACGTCTCATTTCAAGTTGTGAGACCACCTCACTGCTGCCTCAGATTCTCTGTACACACACACACACACACACACACACACACACACACACACACGTTCAGGACCCTGTACACCGTGTACGTTAGGCCCATATTGGAGTGTGCGGCACCAGTTTGGAACCCACACCTAGCCAAGCACGTAAAGAAACTAGAGAAAGTGCAAAGGTTTGCAACAAGACTAGTCCCAGAGTTAAGAGGTATGTCCTACGAGGAGAGGTTAAGGGAAATCAACCTGACGACACTGGAGGACAGGAGAGATAGGGGGGACATGATACTGAGAGGAATTGACAAGGTGGACAAAGACAGGATGTTCCAGAGATTGGACACAGCAACAAGGGGACACAGTTGGAAGTTGAAGACACAGATGAATCACAGGGATGATAGGAAGTATTTCTTCAGTCACAGAGTAGTCAGTAAGTGGAATAGTTTGGGAAGCGATGTAGTGTAGGCAGGATCCATACATAGCTTTAAGCAGAGGTATGATAAAGCTCACGTTTCAGGGAGAGTGACCTAGTAGCGACCAGTGAAGAGGCGGGGCCAGGAGCTTGGACTCAACCCCTGCAACCTCAATTACGTGAGTACAACTGGGTAAGTACACACACACACACACACACACACACACACACACACACACACACACGATAAGAGTTTTTCCACCGATTAAATAATTTTTTTTTTTTGTGTAAAACCTAACTGAGGACACTACACTTGTGTCTAACTGAAAAAGATTGAACTTTTAAATGCTGTTTATGTGCTGTTGGAACATAGTTTATATGTGTTGAAGCATTGTGAGTGTGTGTGTCTACTCACGTTATTGTACTCACCTATTTGTGGTTGCAAGGGTGGAGTCACAGCTCCTGTCCCTGCCTCTTCACTGGCCGCTACAAGGTCTTCTCTCCCTGCTCCGTGAGCTTTATCAAACCTCGTCTTAAAATATGTATAGATACTGCCATCACTACTTCACTTTCCAGACTATTCCACTTCCTGACAACTTTATGACTGAAGAAATACTTCCTAACATCCCTATGTCTCATATGAGTCTTCAACTTCCAGTTGTGTGTGCGTGTGTGTGTGTGTGTGTGTGTGTGTGAGTGTGTGTGTGTGTGTGTGTGTGTGTGTGTGTGTGTGTATGTGTGTATGTGTGTGTTTGTTGGAATGCTTGTTTCTGTGTATATCTGATAATATTTAGTATTGTTTATCTGCAAATAATAGACGAAGTCCATTTCCAGGTGAGAGATTGGGAACCCATAGCCTCGGAGGGGTACATGAAAATTCTCCAAAGAAAAATGCTGCTGGACCATATTTATTACTGAGTGGAAACCTAGGCTGTTATTTAGCGGAAGCCTAGACTAATATTGAACGGAAACCTAAGTTATGATTAAGTGGAATCCTAAGTTATTATTAAGTGGAAGGTTAGCGGGTTATCACCTGCTAACCTGTATTCAGGTGAACTTACTGTTAAGTTATCTCCTACTGTTAAGTGAACAGACAGGCCACGTAAATACCAAGTGGTCATTGAGGCTGTCTGAATACCCTGGGATAACTAGAGTGACCGTAGACCACCCAGGTGAGGACTGAAGTCAGGTGTGAATCTCACAGTGGGTCCTCAGGGCCTGATCAATTACGGGCCACGTACAGACCCTCTGAAAATCCCAGGCATCTATTGGCAAGTTTTTGACATAATCACTGGCCCTGTGGGCATACTAAACCCAATAACCAGAAGCCGAGACTCAGGGTCCAGGAGCCGAGACTCGACTCCCTCGAAGCTGCAAGTAGGTAACGATAAATGGCAACAGTTGCCTTTCTTGTAAAAAAGTCAACATGTAAGATAAATGGCAACAAACTGACGTAGAGTGAATGACCCACTGAATATTGTACGTGTCTGACAAGGAATTAAAAGAACACGATACCGTGACTGAAACAATTGACAAATATCCCGCACATACGAGACTAAAACTTCTGACGACGTTTCGGTCCGGCTTCAACCTTTAACTAGTCACATTAACTAGACAATGTGACGAGTGAATGGTCCAAATCGGACCGATACGTCGTCATAAATTTCGGTCTCCTATGAGCGGGATATTTGTGTAATGTATACACCAAGCATCGTTCGAAACTGTTTATGTATACATACATACATACATACATGCATACATCCCTACATAATATAAAATATATATATATATATATATATATATATATATATATATATATATATATATAATATATAATATTATATTATATATTTATATAAAGAACTTCATAGAGCATTCCATGGTTCTCTTGATCCAGGTGGCTTGGGTCAAGGTCTTTCAACTGACTACTTTCTATATATTAGGTTGAATTTAGTCCATAAAACAAGAATTAAAGTAAACTCTTGGTTTATATACAGTGAGAACTACACCTCTTGGTTTATATACAGTGAGAGATACACCTCTTGGATTATATACAGTGAGAACTACATCTCTTGGTTTATATACATTGAGAACTACACCTCTTGGTTTATATACAGTGAGAACTACACCTCTTGGTTTATATACAGTGAGAGATACACCTCTTGGTTTATATACAGTGAGAACTACATCTCTTGGTTTATATGCATTGAGAACTACACCTCTTGGTTTATATACAGTGAGAACTACACCTCTTGTTTTATATACTTTAAGAACTACACCTCTTGGTTTATATATAGTGAGAACTGCACTTCTTGGTTTATATACAGTGAGAATTACTCCTCTTGGTTTATATACAGTGAGAACTACTCCTCTTGGTTTATATACAGTGAGAACTACACCTCTGGTTTATATACAGTGAGAACTACTCCTCTTGGTTTATTTATAGTGAGAACTACACCTCTTGGTTTATATACAGTGAGAACTACACCTCTTGGTTTATATACAGTGAGAACTACACCTCTTGGTTTATATACATTAAGAACTACACCTCTTGGTTTATATATAGTGAGAACTACTCCTCTTGGTTTATATACAGTGAGAACTACACCTCTTGGTTTATATATAGTGAGAACTACACCTCTTGGTTTATATACAGTGAGAACTACACCTCTTGGTATATATACAGTGAGAACTACACCTCTTGGTTTATATACAGTGAGAACTACACCTCTTGGTTTATATACAGTGAGAACTACACCTCTTGGTTTATATACAGTGAGAACTACACCTCTTGGTTTATATACAGTGAGAACTACACCTCTTGGTTTATATACAGTGAGAACTACTCCTCTTGGTTTATATACAGTGAGAACTACTCCTCTTGGTTTATATACAGTGAGAACTACTCCTCTTGGTTTATATACAGTGAGAACTACTCCTCTTGGTTTATATACAGTGAGAACTACTCCTCTTGGTTTATATACAGTGAGAACTACTCCTCTTGGTTTATATACAGTGAGAACTACTCTTGGTTTATATACAGTGAGAACTACTCCTCTTGGTTTATATACAGTGAGAACTACTCCTCTTGGTTTATATACAGTGAGAACTACTCCTCTTGGTTTATTTATAGTGAGATATACACGTTACTTTTTATTCAGTGGGGAATACACCAATTGTTTTATATACATTTAGATATATACATTTTGGTTTACATACAGTGGGAGAAACAATTTTCAATGTACATTGTGTGTATACAAATGGTATATGTTGTTTATGAGGGTTCAAGGGTGGGTGTAGTGATTTCTATATAAACTGTTGTAGATTACTTACTTGCATATGAGGTCTGTCGCTTCTTGCTCCCCCGGGGACATGGGACAGTCAGGAGTCATGGTGTGGAGTGGCGTGGTGCCTCCGTAGTCGTGGCCTCCTACACGAGAGGTCGTGGCCTCCTACAAAAGTTGGTAATGCAGGTGGTACCGGCAGTGCAGGTAGTAGTAGTGGTGTAGTGCTGGTGGTGTTCGGCTAGTGGTGGTGCTTTTGTAAGGATGTCTGCTGTTGGGAGTGATGCTAGCTTTTAATAGTGATTTATGGGTTGGATATCACTCGCTGGGGAGGATTTGTCTCCGGCCGTGGCTAAATTGATTTCATTTCCCTGTCTTTGGGGGTGTCTGATGTCTCTCTGTTATTGTTGATGTTGTTATAGCCAGTGATGGTGGTGCAGTGGCCGTTGTTATTGCTGATGTTGCAGTGGCTGTTGTTACTGCTGATGGTGTTGCAGTGGCTGTTGTTACTGCTGATGGTGTTGCAGTGGCTGTTGTTACTGCTGATGTGTTGCAGTAGCTGTTGTTACTGCTGATGGTGTTGCAGTGGCTGTTGTTACTGCTGATGGTGTTGCAGTGGCTGTTGTTACTGCTGATGGTGTTGCAGTAGCTGTTGTTACTGCTGATGGTGTTGCAGTAGCTGTTGTTACTGCTGATGGTGTTGCAGTAGCTGTTGTTACTGCTGATGGTGTTGCAGTAGCTGTTGTTACTGCTGATGGTGATGTAGTGGCTGTTGTTACTGCTGATGTTTCAGTGGCTGTTGTTACTGCTGATGGTGTTGCAGTAGTTATTGTTACTGCTGATGTTGCAGTAGCTGTTGTTACTGCTGATGGTGATGCAGTGGCTGTTGTTACTGCTGATGTTTCAGTGGTTGTTGTTACTGCTGATGGTGTTGCAGTGGTTATTGTTACTGCTGATGTTTCAGTGGCTGTTGTTGCTGCTGAAGATATGGGGGGAACTGTTGCTATTGTTATTTACGTCAGACGTATAGAAGAACAATATTTTGTAATCACCAGTTGTGTTACGGATTTTTTATATATTTTTTAAAGACCAGTTTATTCACCTAGATTTTTTTTTTATAATTGATAATATATATTAGTTGTGATTCACGACCTTAATCTATTTACTTCTCTAATAATAATTTTATAAGATCGTCAAAACTATTTTTGTCTTGCAGAGAAGTTATTCAAGTTAGCAGTGACTGTGGTGGCTCAGGGTATCACCCGGCACCCAGCTGGTCTAGTCTGGTGTCAAATTCCCTGAAGAAGTATTCACCGCTGGGGTTCGAACCTTCTTCTAGATGACGTTCTCTTCTAGGAAACAGTTATGTCAGAGCACTCGGAAAGATCCACTGCCTCAGACTCGAAATTTTGGTGTTATTTTGCGACATTGGTTAGTGAACGATGCTGGAAATTCAGAGTTCCACGGGTACACACAGAGAGATGACAACACATAACAAGACATACAGAGGCTCGAGCGACATCACACGCACCACAACAAAATATCCAGTCATGAGAGGAGGGGGCCAAAGGGAACGAGCAAATGCACTTTAGTCCATGAAGCCGCTTCGATGACGGAAATGTGTGAAGGAGCGTTGGTTTGGTGTGATCCTGCTGCCCACTTCGTGGTCCTGGTTGCCCACTTCGTGGTCCTGACTGCCCACTTTAGCGGTAAGGGAAGGAGAGATAATGTTTCTGGGATTTTCTTTAGGTAGACAGGGTGAGTGAGCGAGCACCTTGAGGTTAGTGCGGCGTGGGGTGCGGAGTGACAGATGCTGGATGCGGCGTGTGCGGCCGCTGCGGCGGGACTGGCGTGTATCGTGGTCAGGTGCCCGCCCCCCACCGCGCGCCCACCCGTGGTCCCACACGCCCGGGGGCACTACACCTGCACCGCCCCTGTCGCTGCCCCCCCTGCCTTCCCTACCCCTCACCACGCCCCCCTCACCCCCCTCTCATTGGCTCCCTTCCCCCGCCACACCCGCCTCCCGCCCCGCTCACCTGCGAGCTGGACCAATCGTGGGCGGGTGCGAGATAGGTGGGCGGGGCTGCGGCAGCGGGCGGCGGCAGCCAGGTAGGGGCGACGGTGGGCAGGTAGTGGCTAGCTGGGCAGCCGCAGCCACGGAACACTCACTGCCTTCTAGCTATGATGTTGTTCTTTTTTACCTGCCTACCCAGATGACCCCCCCGGCACCCCCCAGCCTGGCCGCAGTTACACTCCCTCCCCCAGCCTGGCCGCAGCTACATCCCCTCCCCCAGCTAGGCCGCAGCTGCACCCCCTTCCCCAGCCTGGCCGCACCTACACCCTCTCCCCTAGCCTGGCCGCAGCTGCACCCCAGGTTTGGTCACCATTGCATCCCAGACCTTGTCACAGCTGCACCCTAGTACTGGCCGCAGCTGCACCACAGGCCTGGCCACAGCCGGACCCCAGGCCTGGCTACAGCTACACCACAGGACTGGCCACAAATCACCGCAGAACTAACCACGGATTACCGCAAAACTGGCCACAGATGCACCCTAGAACTGGCCACAGGTACACCCCAGAATTGGCCACAACTGCACCCCCGTACTGTCCAGAGATGCACCCCAGGACTGGCCACAGATGCATCCCAGGACTGACCACAGCTGCACACCAGGACTGGCCACAGCTGCATCCCAGAACTGGCCACAGTTGCACCCCAGGACTGGCCACAGCTGCATCACAATTCTGGCAACAGCTGCACCCCAGGACTGGCCACAGCTGCTCCCCAGTACTGGTCACAGATGTACCTCAGGACTGGCCACAACTGTACACCAGTGCTGTCCAGAGATGCACCCCAGGACTAGCTATAGCTGTATTCCAGAACTGGCCACAGTTGCACCCCAGGACTGGCCACAGCTGCATCCCAATTCTGGCCACAGCTGCACCCCAGGACTGGCCACAGCTGCTCCCCAGTACTGGCCACAGCTGCACCCCAGGACTGACAACAACTGCACCCCAGTATTGTCCAGAGATGCACCCCAGGACTGGCCGTAGATGAACCTCAGGCCTGGCAACAGCTGCACACTAGGGCTGGACACAGATGCACCCTAAGGCTGGCCACAGACGCACCCCAAGGCTGGCCACAGATGTACCCCAGGACTGGTCACAAATGTACCACAGGCCTGGTCACTTAACAGACTCTAGAGCCAGATATCACCTCATATCTCATCTCACTTCTACTAGTTTTAGCACATTTCTTGATTTAAAATCTACATTCGATATAGCAAACAGAAGACCTGCCATGCCTGGATAACAGGTTATCTGTCATGCTCTGTCATCGTTTTAGAAGTGGGATTCAAGAAATGTCCCTAGGTACACCACAAGGACGTGTTCTCAGTCCCATGCTGTTTACTGTCTTAGTTAATGCTACACTAAATGCTCTACCTACCTAGGTTTAACACACAGCTATAAGCTATACTGATGATGGCATGCAGCATACAACAGGGCATAAGAAAAAGAGTACTTTCTTAATAAGGTTAATATCTTCTTCTAAAACTAAGATACTGCAAGCAAACGACATCTCCCACCCATCTGTTTGCAGGGTGAAAATATCAGCTACGTTAAATCTTGATTGATAAATTAGACACATGTGCAACTCTTGGGTATCTTTATTGAGGAAACGATACCCAAGAGTTACACATGTGTCTAATTTATCAACATGTCGGTTCTCTGAACCATTCATCTACAATACGTTAAATCTTGCAGACACCTTGGTGAAAACGTACATTTCAGTAAATCCACTATACCGCAACTAAATAAGAAATGCAAAGATAGGTTAAATGCTTTCAAAGCTCTTGCTGGCTACAACCCCAATCATGTTGCTGATGTGACATTAGTTAGAATGTTGGTCCTAAGCTATATTGCAACATTAACTAATGATATTGCTGCCATGTTCGCTAAAAAAAATTTCTCTCCGGTCCTTGGAACCGAATTATTCTTGGCTAACTTAAATTTAGAAGAAAATGCTTGTTATTCGTAGTATCAATGAAAAGATAAATGAAATTAACATATACTTAGTATTTGTTAAAAAAATGAACCAGACACTCACTACAAATCTTACTAAATGTCTAAAAATAAATAAACACAAATCTAAATGAGTTCTGAAAAAATGCAATTATATTAAGTTGATAACGTGCACGAACTGTATCTATTTAGACAGCAAGAGCATTTCACCTCTCTATGGAAGTTAGGTTCACAGACCCGGCCGCGGGGGCGTTGACCCCCCAGAACTCTCTCCAGGTAAACTCCAGGTATCTAGTAATCCCTTCCTTAAATCATTTGGGAAGGCAACTACTCAAGAAGAAATTTCTCACCTCACTGTTATTAATAATATATAATAATTGATATACAGTGATGGATCTAAGCAGAAGTCTACTGACAGGGCTGCAACTGCTGTTGTTGTCACTATCTTAGATAACTATAGCAAGCATGTTTAGGTAGGCATAAGAATTAACAACTGGGCGTCTACAAACTGAAAGGTTTGTTATCCTCTTGGCACTAAAGTTAACTTACTGACGTCAATTCATTGACTTCGAGAGATTCTTTCATTACTGAAGTTTCTTGACTCACATAATAACTCCAGTAACATGTTCATGGAGAAGTCAAGCACAAAATAAATAAAAAACCCGCACATAGCAGAAAGGAGATTACGACGACGTTTCGGTCTGACTTGGCCATTTACAAAGGCAAACCCAGAGCTTAATTAAAACTAAAATAAGAGAAAAAATAATTAATATACAATTCCTATGGATTCCACAATTTCTCCTTCGTTATAAACTTGATAAATTAGCCAACGTATCGTAAAGAAAAATGTAGAATGTAACTTGGTATATCTGCGTCAAACATTAGCAATAATATTAGGAGAGAATTAAAGAAAATGAATATCACAGGATTACGATTAGAAGAGTGAGAAGATCTGTCACTCGCTATGATAACATGAACGTAGTTAAATAATTCAGGGAACGGATGGGATTTGAACTCAGGGCGAGTGAATCCTGCAACTCACACAACTAACTGGTGGTGTACTAGCCAGGCTTAGACTTGATTACAAGTACCTCTAGCAATTTGGAATAGCACAGATGATGATCAAACTAAATGCAAATTATGTGGTCAGTCTTATGGTTATTTTTCCATACACACTCTAAGCACAAGACCGATTGCAACAGTGATGACTATAGAAACAAGTGTATTAACACAGGGACGATGGTGGAAATTCAGTGAGGCTAGAATAGTCATTAAGGAAGAAGATTTAAGATGGCGAAAGTGTATAGAGGTTACCCTAATTGCTGTCAGTTGCACTGTCCATCAGAAGTCCGGAAGTTACACAATATATAAGTTGCTAATCGACAGTATATTACCCAGTCTGATGTTGACAGGTCCTTCTCTAACCCATCTAGCCACGATTGTACTACTACTACTACTATTACTACTACTATTACCACTACTACTACTACTACTACTACTGCTACTACTACTGCTACTACTACTACTACTACTACTACTACTACTAACTACTACTACTACTACTACTACTGCTACTAACTACTACATACTACTACTACTATTACCACTACTACTACTACTACTACTACTACTACTACTGCTAACTACTACTACTATACTACTACTAATTACCACTACTACTACTACTACTACTACTACTACTACTACTACTACTACTATTACCACTACTACTACTACTATTACTACTACTACTACTACTACTACTACTACTACTACTACTACTACTACTATACTACTACTACTACTACTACTACTACTACTACTACTACTACTACTACTACTACTACTACTACTACTACTACTACTCTACTACTACATTACTACTACTACTCTACACTACTACACTACTACTATACTACTACACTACTACTACTACTACTACTAACTACTACTATCACCTACGCGACCTTCCACCTGGCTCCTGTCATCTCAGTATTAGGTCTGTAGTGGTCACTCAAAGTGTAACGTTTCTTTTAATAAATGTCCTGAACTGAACCAAATTTTTCTTTTTCAAATCTTTTCGGTATCAAGATACCAAAGATATTAAATAAATAACCCATATTTTCTTGCAACAGAAAAGACATTAATTGGATATATATATATATACCGATGTACTCCAGTTAACACATTTTGGGGCCTTGTATCTAAGCCATTTGTGAATCCACATGCTCTTGCGCTACCGTCCACGGGAGGGATGAGGTGCACAACAAGCCAGCCGCTTCGCTGTGGCAAAATCTAAATCTCTAATCAGTGATTAGTTGTGTTACTAATACTTCAAGATCACTTCAGACAAAGTAACGTGGGTTATCGTGGTGAGGCATAAGCGTTCCTAGGTCACCTGAGTTGGTTGGTTAATGGGGATTGAAGAATATCGACTATACCCGGGTCATTAAGACTGCACGTCATCTAATCACTGGCAGTCAAGAAGACTTTAAACCCCTAAGGAACCTACTGTTCCTGTTCACCCAGTAGTAAGTAGGTACCTAGGTGTTAGTCGACTGGTGTCGATCGCGTCCTGGGGGACAAGAGTAAAGGACCACAAGAGCTATGACCCAAACCTTGGAACCACAAATAGGTGAGTACAGCGGAAATAAGACAATCAATCCTCGATGACACAAACTTTCTTGGGGGTATCCTGGGTTTGTTAACCCTGGAAACATGCCTAACGTTGCTACCCATGCCGGGATTGAACCACAGACATTCAGTGTGTGAGGTGAGTGCGTTGTCAACCGGGACACAAAATTGATTAAGAGGCATTAGGA